CAGAAGGGACTCACCTTCTTTGACACAGGTGTTGTTCCTTAGCTGATAGCCCCGAGGGCAGTCACACATCAGGTCCCCAGAAGGGAGGACACTGCTGGACACTCCCTCTGGACACCTGCAGCTTCTGCTGTTGTTAGCCTTGGGCAGGCACAGCAGGCTGCAGGGCCTGGACATGCAGGCATTGCTTCCTGGAGAGAAGACACATAGCAGCATACTGGGTTAATAATACGCAGCAGAAGGGAGCCACTGAACAGGAAGAGACCTGCTGCCTCCTCACCCTATAGACAGGACCAGAGAAGCTCACAGAGGCTCCGCAGCACATGTGGAGGCACCTCCTGTAATGACAAGCTCTGCCAGAACCTGGGCAAGGACCTGAACCATACAGCCAGTTTCTCCAGACTTGCCTCTCCACCTCAGCTCCATTGGACTGCCCAAACCATGGAGCAGATGTTCCTCCTGGGAAAATGGAATTGGGTTTCTGAAAGCTAAGCCACCAGGGAGCTAGAACTGGGAGAAGAGATACCAGAGTAAGTGTCAAAACTTTCTCAAGTCACAACCATGGAGAGGTACTCTGGGTCTGCAGATAGAAGACTTATGGGGAGAAAAAGGGTCACCACCAGGGCCTCAGAAAAAGAGAATGACTTTGCCATTCCTAGCTGCAGCACCTTTAAGGCGTATCTAGATCTCCCATCTCTGGATTCCTTATTGCCTCCCTTGATTCTGCCAATAACATTTTCCATTTGAGTTATCTTGAGTGGGTTCCTTTGGACCCAAAGGCCCTTCATTCAGAACATGCATGTGGGTAAAGCTGGGGCCTGGACAAAATTCCAGATCACCCTTCTCAACTGCTTTGTGTCAAAGCACAGCTAAAGAACTAAATGAGGAACCAACCAAAGTACTCATTAAGCTACCATCAAGCGAACAATGAATCCATAAAAGGACTAAAGTTGATTTGATCTATGCTAATATGTTCAATTTTTTTCTGGTTCAACTTAGCAAATAAAGTAACAGTTCAAAAAATCCATCACCGCACTTAAGAGAGCCTAATGTGAATGAACAAAACTGGCAAAGGTGTTTTCTATCCCCAACACCTTTTCAGAGGGTAAAGAGGGAGAATGTATAACCTATTTTGTAACAACTGGAAACATGATACAACTATGGGATAACACAAAAGCCAAAGACTTTTGAAATACATATGTTGTTTTCTTTTGGCTTTGCATATTAATCATGAAAACAAGAAAATCAACATAAAAACTTTGAAAAAATTCAACTGCTGACTGTTCAGTTGTGAGGTCTAGTCAGACACTCCAACCCCACCTCCACCATCAGACAGGCAGCCAAGTAATCTGGTTCCACCCAAGACTACAACTAAGCCCTGCCCAAAGAGTGCTGGTTAATGACAATGAGTAATGATATGGGTGACAGTATACTCGATAGCTTTGGATGTGTTGGCACCTCATCAGTTTTAAGTGATATTACAAATAGAAATAAAAATCACAGATTTAGCAGCAATGTCACTTTGATTCTAAGAAAGAGAGAGTAAAAGACATTGCCAAATAGATAAAGTAAGCACACCCAGGTAGAGAAATTCATGTGATGAAACTTTCAAAAAAGCTTCAGCAAATAACTCACTCAACCATCAACCACAGCAGCACAGTAACCATAGTAGAACATCCAGGTGACCAGACATCAGCTCATCCTGATAGTTGGTGAGCACAGATTGCTCTTTAGCTCAAATACACAAACTACTGGCTAGAAAAGGGGGATACAAAATTGAATTGAGCCACCACTAATGAAAAACAACTGGAAAAGGATGTAGGACATGTTCTTTGTATTCTGAGGACAACATACCACTCAATGTTCCAAGAAAATGAACAATAACAAAATATGTTATTTAAACATACTCAATTACAGGATGATATTTTCATGTGGACTGTGTCTAAAATAACGTGACTAACATTTTCACATGCAGAGCAAATGTTCCTACCCAAACAAGGAAGAGCTAAACGCACAGAACCCAAAATGGGGTGTCCTATTTCAGGAGGCTAATCCAGGCCAAGATGTATGACACCGCAGGCTGAGAGGCAGTATCCAGGGGCAAACTCCAAACCAAGCTCATCAGGTCCCTGTCTGCAAGAGATCAGCAGGGAAGGAGCACCCCAGCTGTTATGAACCACAGAACAGGAAATGGTACAACATTACAGAGAACACAGAAAAAAAATGAAAGAATTCAGCAGAGTCCCACTGTGGCCAGAGACCCTTCTATAGGATGCCAACTGCCCCATGTAAGCAAGGTATACATTATGAAAACCCCTGTCCTGATGGGAAGAAAGGACAGGTGACCATCTTCAAAGATGTCCCCTTAGGATACCACACTTAGCTCCAGATGTCTTCATGGGCGTCTTCAGAACATTTTCAAATTTCCTCTGTGGAAAATTCCTCCAGAATCAGTTTTGGAGCCAAAAATGCTATTATCTCACTTAAGTATTGAAACTCTTGGCAGTTACCAAAACAAATCTACACTAAATAATGAATATTCACCCTCATTTACAGATGTTTAAAAGCTTGCAGGATCAGAAGAATTTCAAGATCTCCAAAATACTTTTAAGACATTGTAGCATCAATTGAATACATCAAAAATCTTACAAAGTAACCTCTTTAAAGGGAAAAAATACTTTATAAAGAATAAATTCCACTGACATTACTTAAAAATCAGCCATGAATCAAGACAAGAAGTGTATTATTTACTTATAATCAAATACCTCAAATTAATAAGTGTTCTATGTAAACAGACATTTTATCACAAACCAGAATCAAGCAAATTGTAGTATTCTAACTTACTGTCACATTACCAGTGCACTGCTATTTCAGCAACAGATGGCAGAGGGGGCAAAGCCTGATGGTTTTACTGAAGTTCAAGTTTTGAAGTCAACTAGGTCACAACTCAACTCTTACCACTTACTATGTGTGTGACCTGGACAAGTTACTAAACCTGACTTTTATGTCTCATCTATAAAATGGGAATATTCACAGCACAAATGGATTTGGAGAAGACTAAAGGAAGTCCACAAAAAATACTAGCAGGTATATATGATATAACCCTTAATAAATACCTAAATAAAAGTATTTACCATTATTTTATATTTAGCTAATAGAAAATTCTGTGTATATTAGGAGCAAATAACAAAAAGAATACAGGAGGACTGGCACCTGGGTGGCCAGTATGCATCATGAACATGTGGAACCCTCTGGGTGTTCGAACAAGGAGGCAGGTTAGAGCAAACAAGCACAAAGCTGAGAGGCATGCGGTGCACACTGGCAGCACTGAGCCAGGTGCGGCTGCAGAAGCTCCAATTTCACTCAGACTGGCCCATTTCAGAGGTTAGATGCTGAGAGCCATAGCTGAGTAGGAATGATGCATGGCATTTTTGGTTGAAGGTAAGGCCAGCAAGCCCTTGAGATGATAATGATTATGTTAAGATGTGCATTCAATTGGATATTAGACCCCTGCTGTCCACCTCCGCCTGCTACTTTGGAGCTCTCACTCTCAGGGGACTCCCAGAGAATTCCCATTGGTTGGGGAAGTGCGGTAGGAGGGATTTCCGGAGGAGGGATTTGGGGTTGCTGTGGTGTGTCCCAGGAGAAGGCTGCGTGCATGGCATTCACGGGAGTTTTGGAAATAAAGTTTGTTCCTGCTTGAGTGGCTTGTGATTTTGTGCCCAGCCAGACTGCGGCAGTTAGACACTTGCTTCTCTGGCCCTGTCTGTAGGTAGGAGGTCTCCTGAAGACATCCTGCTTACAACAAAAGGAAGATAAGAGAGAACTGCAAGAGAAGTGGAGACTGGAGTAGAGATGCAGTCAGTGGCACTAGGCCTAAGGAACAGTGTTCCACCCACTAGCACACATCTCCCTTTTGAACCTGTCTTTCCTCCATGATGCTATCCCAACCCCCAGAATTACTGTGGGGAGTGTAAATAAAAGTGACTCTTGGGGATCAATCACACCTAAGCTGAGAATCACAGACCTGTCTGTCTAGCACCAGGCACATCTGCACCTGCTCAGAGCATATACTCCCTCTCCTGCCACTCCAGGGGGTTGGGTGACACATGTCAGCTGGGATTGAGTTGCTGGGATGAAGTGGCAGTCAAGAGAGGAATGGCAGGGACAAACTCCAAACCTAGCCAATCAGGTCCCTTCCTGCAAGAGATCAGTAGGGAAAGCACCCCAGGGACCCCCAGCTTCACCTGAACGTGGTGCTGCAGAAACTGCTGCGTCGCATCAAACGCGCTTACAAGCACTGGTTGAAATGGAGCCCCACTCTTCTGGACTAGGTGATAACTTAGAGAAATGAGAACAACCCACTCTCTGAGTCTGTGAGGCTCTCATTTTCCCTCAGACAGGGGCCTAGAGATTTCAGTCATGGCAGCTGAGAAGCAAGATTCCTTCATCTCCTCCTACTTTAAAACAGGTGTCTCCTCTTAAGAAACAATGTGACTTCTCCATTTCGTAGCTCCTACACTAGTGAGAATGCTTTGAGAAAGCTAATTAATAGCTAAGATTTCACTCCTTCACCTACAGACCACGGATCAGAATACCAGCCCTCCACACCTCACAGGTCAGCTGTGAAGATACTGCGTAATTACCCACCAAGCACCAATACTCGAAGCAGGCGACTCTGAGACAGACTTACATCAGGAGGACACTTTATAGTTTCCAAAGGGTGTTCCCATGCCAGCTTCCTTGGTCCCAGAGGAATAACAATGATATCTATAACTGTATTATTTTTCTTGTCAATTTTCCATTAGCACAGGATAAGCCAAGACCCACAAAACACTACCAACATTCTAGTTCAAAACAGAAAACCTAGAAGTTTGTCAACAAAGGAAAGTCAAGAAGTTACTTAATCCAATGGAGATAAGAGGGAATGCTTAAAGGGACTATTCTTCTCAGGAATGCTCGAATTCTTCTCCCCTAGCATCATCAGTACAGCTGAGGGTAAGCAAGGGTAAAGGGTAGAAGGGGAAGGAAGATCATTTCTACTAGGAGTCTCAGCCTCCAGTAGCCGCATGTCAAAGCTTTATATAGCAGCTCTTAAAACCTCAACCAACAGGCCATGAAGACAGCAACTATCTATACCCATGGCAGCTCTCCCTGTCCTGTTCATCCCTTCTTTCAACAAATATGAATTGAGCACCTACTAAGTGCTAGTCACCGCTGCCATAGGAGAAAAAGAAAGCAGACACAATCTTTTCCTTCATGGGGTTTAAAAGTTCAGGGTGGGTGCACAAATAGAAGCCACAAACAACTAAACACAGCATCACAACAGAGGTGGGAATGCTCAATGGGCACGCAACTGTCTGAGCACCCAGCCAGCGCTGCTCCCTGTAAGTGTGCCAAATGGGGATTAAGCACACGCTGGGCTCTCCCAGCTGCAACAGAAGCCACACCACCAATCAGTGAGGGGCCAAGGGCAGGAGGAGGGTGTAATTACCCACCACGCACCAACACTCTAGGCAGGCAAAAACATGCTGTCTTCCAGCTGTTTGTGTGTCATTAGAAAAGAAATTAAGATGTCATTAGGAAGAAATTAAATAATGCACATGTTGTCGTGACAGCAAAGACGCAGGCTGCCAGATCCTGCTCTGAGTGGAGATTGCCCACATGCAGCCCCTTTCCTGAGATCAGCTCTGGGGAGACTTAAGAAGAGACTCTGTCTTACCAGTGTTTTTCCCCTTGTAGAAAATCTTCATGTCCATTAGCCCTGTGAGCTGGCTTGCCAGGATCTCCATTTGGGACCCGCTGTATTTGGAAGCTCGGAATATGCTGAGCTGTGACCAGTCATCCCAGTAGATTTCATTCTAGAATAAAAACCTTTGTCTGTTAGTCCAGCTTTTAATAGTGGGAATTGAACTCAGGGGCACTTGACCACTGAGCCACATCCCCAGTCGTATTTTGTATTTTATTTAGAGACAGGGTCTCACTGAGTTGCTTAGCACCTTGATTTTTGCTGAGAGTGGCTTTGAACTGGCGATCCTCCTGCCTCAGCCTCCCAAGCCACTGGGATTATAGGCAAGTGCCACCACACTAGCTCTTTGGTCTTTATTCTGAAGCCTCTAAAAGGATAGGAGCCCCCTACCCAAGAGACAACTAACAGTTATTGTCTGAATGACTGATCTGATCAAAATTCCACTTGAATGTAAGCATCAGTGGTTTGATCCAAACATCACCAAATCCACATTAAGGAGCTACTACACAAAAGAAACTATTAGAGAAGCATTCAAGTTTGACCAAGCTGCTCAGTTCAAAACCTGCTTCCCAAGGACCAAGAGAACTGTTCTGTTCTCTGAATTAAAACATACATGTGGTATGTAGCTTATCTCTCTCAGTAGGGAATAAAGTGAGCAAACCTCACAAGATACAAAGAAACAGAGGCTCTTGGCACTAGAGGCAAGCTCAGAACAGTCTTAAGAAATAACCTTAACTCTTAACCTTTTGAATTGTGAGTAGTGGTAGTGGCCAGGACTCCGGCACCTATATCTGGTATGGGCTGAAGTGAATTATCTCAAATTTAGAAAAGAGCAGATTTCCTAAGTCAGGCAGCATCTCTGTGAGACCCCAAAAGTCCCCGGCTTTGGACCTTAGTATGCTCTTTACCTACTCTGCCAGACTGCCTAATGGTGGGACAAATAAGGACTCACCTTGAAGACAGCAATGGCATAGGGGTGCGGGAGGTTGTCCAGAATGACCGAGCGTTGCTGGCCACTAAAAGTGATCCGTTCAATGCAGTCCAGGTAGGCATCTGTCCAGTAGATCCACTGGTCATCCACAGAGATGCCGTTGGGCCATTTGACGTCCTCTGAAACAAGACGATGAGCAGCAGAGCCATCCATGTTGCTCCGATAAATCCCAGGCTTCAGGTCCCCCCAGTCGGTCCAGAACATGACCCTGGTCAAAATGGGGATAAACCACATACCTCGTCAAAATGGGAGAAAGAGGAGCTCAAATACTCCTCTCCATATAGGAAAGAGATCCCTCTAGAACAATCATTATTTTAGTTATCAGTAATCCTAATATTTGAAACCACTTAATTCCTTGACTCAGAAATTCCTCTACTAAAATTCACCTACAGTCAAATTAGGCAAAGATAATGTACAAAGAAATGTACAGATATGTATATTAATCTAAATGTTAATTGGTATAGGAACTGATATATAATAGTACATACCACAAAACACTATGAAACCTGGAAATCTATATGTGTTCAAATGAAACTATCTTCAAAACAGATACTTTTTTAAAGTTACAAAGTTGTAAACACACTGATTCAATCTGGTGCATGAATGTAGGGGGGAAACCTGTGACTTAAGGATAAAGTTTGTACATGGGTAAAAATGATTCTAAACAATACATAAGAAACTACTAAAAATCACCACCCCTAGGATGTATGAGGGTAAAGGGTTAAGAAGAACAGAGAAACTGGGCATGGTGTTGCACATCTATAATCCCAGCTGAGGCAGAGAAGGCTGAGGCAAAAGAACTGTAAGTTCAAGGCCAACTCTGGAAAATTTAGTGAGACTTTGTCTAAAAACATAATTTTTAAAAAAATGATTGGAGATGTAGCTGTAGCTCAGTGGTAGGGAGCGAGCGGGGTCAATCCCCAAAATGCAAGAAAAGAAAAAAAAAAGAAGAGGAGGAGGAGGAAAACAAATACCAAATACTTTTGTTCCATACACTTTTGT